ATAATTATGTTTAAAAAAAGTTATATAAATTAATTAGTAAAAATAATTAAATCAAACATATTTATTATATTATTTATGTAGTCTTAATAAATAAAAGTAATGTAATAATAACTAACCCCGCGAAGGTATGGTACACAATAATATAAATAGGTGTTAAGAGCAAAAAAAGTTTATAGTTATGTTTGGTGTGATTGTTAGAAATGATTAATAGTTGTAATTATTATATAATAATTGATAAAACAACTAATAATTTTATCTATTATTTTTATAGTTTATTTTTAATAGTTATAATTTAATTTTTAAATTTTTAGACATAAATTTCATATAAAATCTAATAATTTATATAAATAACAATTAATTTTTTTTTGTCTCTACATATAATTCTTGGTAAATATTTTTATTTGATTAAAAAAATTTTAATTATTATTTATATAAATTATTAAATTTTTATATAAAATTTATATTTAAAAATTTTAAAATTAAAATAAATCTATTTAAAATAAACTAAAGAAATATATAAAATAATAAAATTAAACAAGTTAAATACAAATATAATAATTATTCATGGCCTTAAAATTTTTAATTATTATTTATATAAATAATTAAATTTTTATATAAAATTTATATTTAAAATTTTTAAAATTAAAATAAATCTATTTAAAATGAACTAAAGAAATATATAAATTAATAAAATTAAACAAGTTAAATACAAATATAATAATTATTCATGGCCTTAAAATTTATTTATATCCCCATAACCACCACCCAACGTGTGCGTTCCCCATCAAGATTCTGCTGGTGCTGGCCTGAAATGTAAGAGAGGAAGAAGGGTCAGTGCCACGTGACTGTTATGAGTGATGTGGCTCTGAGACACGTGACATCAGCCTCGTGGTTCGTTCTTCAACAGTTCAACTGGAAATTTAACCGAATTAAAATAAATAAATAAACATATTCATCTCCATTGTGCCTCTAAGTAATGTTCAGTAAGTAAAATGGTTGATGATGAATAATTTTTATATAAAGTAGGATTTATTTATATATAAATTTTATATATTATATTTATATAAAATATTAATTATTTAATTTTTTTAACAATTTATAATTATTTACAGGGTTAATTTGAGAAGAAGAGAAAAGATTCCGTGAGATTCAAACGTGTAATCCACAGATATAAACAGTTATTACCCAGATCCAACACCACTAGGTCGGATCAGGTCCGTTCAATTATTTAATTTAAATAACACAAAAAATTTATATAAAAATAATAAAAAAATTATTCTTAAATAAATTTTCATGGGATTAACTTTGGTGTTGGCTTGATGCTTCTTTTGAGGATGATCGAACGCTTCAAAACAAGGCTGACGCAACAATTCCCCCACCCCCCCAATTTGTTACCTAATCCCTGTCAAATGTTTACCATAACAGGAAAAATTTAGCGACACGTGGTGAATTCGTCACTGACGAAAATGCCCCCCACTGTCACGTCCAAGTTCTTCAATCCTTAGAGGGTCACTTCGATTTTTTTGGGGGTGGCAAATCGGG